TTGCACTTCTGAGCATAACTTTCAAATTTAAAAAACCTATGAAAAGAAAATTTGAGACAAATTTTTTTATATATATTGATAGACTCCCTTTAAAGCTGAATTGAATGGTGGTAAGTTTTTTAAAAATCTAATGTGTGGATCACATAATATTTCAAAAATTTTAACTTTTGAGTATAGATGATCCGCACTGTATCTACATTTAAACATACTTTAAAATCGTTTTACTGATCTAACACTCAAAGTCACATGCATTACATTTTTGCTCTTTATGAAGAAACTTCAGCCTTTGGCACTTTTTGTCATTTGTAATAAAAAAAAATCATAACAAAAGTGAATATATGTATGCTTAACAATTAGCAATTATTGTAAACTTTCTAAGTACAATGAGTAACCCAGAGCAAAGCTCTGAATGGTCCAGTTCAATTTTTCAGTTTACATTTGACCCAAAAATTTCATTCTAAATTCGTCAACTACACAAAATACACATAATAAATTCACAAAAGAATTACAATAACTTGTTGGCTTGGTTTTGGCAAATGTGTTTCGAAGTAGAGATGCTGGAAGGTTCTGTTTCTAAATACATACATAGTCTATAATTTTTATACCGTGGTAGTGAAGGTCCATTTCTTACCAAAATTAGAATGGACCATGATTGAAATTTATACATAATGCCATATTTAGATACAGCTGGTCAGTTATAGGTCTGTTCATTACATATTAGATGTACAAAAAAATTTGTACACATGGTATTAGTATTAAAGTTTTTATTCATAATACATATTCTTATTCGAATTAATATTATTTGTTTTATTCGACTGAGCTTTCAATATAATTCGAATACTCAAATTCATAACAAATGAAACAAATAATTCGAACAAACCTTATTTGAATAGAAACCCTAACGCTAAGGACATTCTATAGTTGGCTCGGTCTAAAGACATCCTAAATTTTGGACAAATTTTAAAAGTATAGAAGTCACTTTCTGTCCTACATTTTAAAAAAATAATGTTATTAGCTGATATAATAGGTCTTTAGTTTTAATGTAATAATGAGATATTTTCAAATAAATTATTTGTTGAGAGTTCTATTCTTTTTTAAAACATGTACTTTACTATGCTCACGAGGAATTTGTCTGCCAAAATCATTTCTAATTTAGACTAGCTCTCAACTACCGTATCTAAATTTGGAAGTAAGAAATAAAATCATGTGAAGTCTTTTTTTTTATTATTACATTTTTGAATGAATTACAAAATTGCCATTTTTTGAAATTTGGTCACATGATGCCATATTTTTTCAATTTCAATTAATATATAAAATTCATCATCTCCACAAACTTTTCAAACTCTCTTTTAGTAATTAAGTCTGTGCCTCTGGAAAAATCTCGTTCAACCAGGGTACTGGTTGCTATAATAAATTTAATTCTAAATAAGCAGAGTGCAAAAATTAGAATACCAGAGACTGACAAGTAGTTTTTAGCCCAAAGCTCTGAAACTTTGGTTCATTTTCAGTTTGGTTTAAAGAGTAAACAGAAACTGAACTGAAATTCTTAGGCTTGAACCAAACTGTTCGGATCTTTAACCTAGAGCAACATATACTGACTGACTGGTCTTTGAACCAGTCCTCCTAACCAGTCTTTATTTCCAAATTGGTAAAACAAACATTTTTTTCCTTTGGATTTTCAAAAAAAAATTTACCAAGGAATTTAATATTAATATTTGGACATTATCCAAGAA